CCCATCCCTTTCTATTCTATTCTATTCTATTCTATTCTATTCTATTCTATTCCATTCCATTCCATTCCATTCCATCCCACCCCTTTCTATTCTATTCTATTCTATTCTATTCTATTCTATTCTATTCTATTCTATTCTATTCTATTCTATTCTATTCTATTCCATCCCATCCCTTTCTATTCTATTCTATTCTATTCTATTCTATTCTATTCCATCCCATCCCATCCCATCCCATTCTATTCTATACTATTCCATCCCATTCTTTTCTATTCTATTTTATTCCATTCCATCTCATCCCATCCCATCCCATCCTGTTCTATTCTATCCCATCCCATCCCATCCCATCCTTTTCTATTCTATTCTATTCTTCTTTTTGACACTTATGATCATTATAGCATGGTCACTTGATCAAAATTTGGCTTCTTGGCAATTGGTTCATATTTAGGACATTTGCAGTGTCCCAAGTTCAGGGGATCTTTTTTTGTGACCTTCTGACAAGCAAAGTCCATGAGGAAGCCCAATTCACTCAACCGTCACATTGCTCCCTTAGCAAGTGCAGTGATTTACTTAACAACCACGGCAAGAAAGATTGCAAAAATGGGGCAAAACTCACTAAGCAATTGTCTCACTTAGCGACAGAAGCGTTGACCTATATTCTGGGCCACAAAAGCCAGGTTCTGGCCAAGTTCTTTACAAACTCTGGTGTTCCACAGGAATTGTCTTTCAGACTTGTGTGGATTTGGGGTGAACCGCTGGGGAATTCTGGGAGTTAAAATGTACCCATTTCTAAAATCACCAATTTGTAAAAAAAAAAAAAGCAAAAAAAAAGCCCTGTTTTCGAGGAAAAGCTGAAGATTGAAGCTGCGGGTCTCACTACACAAAGCAAGCTGCGCACTACCCCCCCCCAACCAAGGTATCCTCCACCTTCCTCACATGATTTACCTGTCCCCTCCTCTGTGATTGTGCCCTCCGTGATGATCTCCATCCGAAATCCACCTCTCTTCAATTGGAATATTTTCAGATCCACCGTGTGAGAGAAGCAGCCGTGAATGTCCGCCTGGCATGGGAAATCAAGAGAGGAGCAAGTTGCCGTGGCTGATTCTCTTTATTCTTCCTCTTTTCCTCAAGAATCTTCCTGAGGTAAACCCTTCTCAGACTGTCTCCTGAAGGGATCATTTGCGGCCTGCAACTTGGCCCAGATGATCGACTAAAAAAAAAACCCGCTGGAAAACTTTGGGGCTCAACTTCACCTTGGACTTAACTTTTCAGACTATAACGAAAAGAAGCCATTTTGACCATCCAAGCTAACAAGGGTATGTTCACTTTTTATTTCAGAATCAGAATTGGAATAGAGCTGGAAGGGACCTTGGAGGTCTTCTAGTCCAGCCCCTTGCTTAAGCCCCCTGAAGGCAGGATAAAGAAGCAACCAATGGAAACTAATCCAGGAGAGAAGCAACCTGAAACTGAAGAGAAATTTCCTCAAGAGGGAGAACAATTATCACGATACAAACCGTGGAAGGGTTTGCTTCCAAAAAGTGGAGAGCGCACCAACACTGAACAAGAGATTGGACTTCCCCTTTGTCTGAAATGTTTATCGGGTTTCCTATTTGAGCAGAAGGTTGGATTCGAAGACCTCCAAAAGCAGGGGTGGGATTCTACCAGTTTCCCCACCGTCGGCGATCGCACACGCTCCTAACCCGCGTGCGCAGCTTTCCAAGCACCAGCTGAGGCTCGGCCAATCAGCGGAGGGGATAAAGAACGGGGGCGGGTGGGATCCTATGCGGGTGGGATCCTATGCTTTTTCTCTTCTTTCTCCTCTCAGCTGGTCAGGTTCGGCCAAAGCGATAGTAATTTTTGCTACCAGTTCGGCTGAACCAAGCCGAACCAGTAGCATTTCACCACCGCTCCACAGTCCCTTCCAACTATTTTCATGTTATTGTGGAAATGTATTTTTTAAAAGCAGGCTCTTGAAAATATGACCGAGTTTTGCCTTCCCTCCTCCTTAATACTAAAGAAAATCAGAGTTGGGCAACCTTGAGTTTCTCCCTCACTGTCTCCTCCCTTCCAAGCCTAAAATCTGATTTTAATCCTCTTTCACAGCCTAAAGTCACAGTTGTGAAATGGGTGGCCGTATAAGCTGTATATGCATTTTAAATAAATAAATACGCAAACATGCTGGTGTTTGTAGAATGGCTGTGGAATGTCTTCTTCAATATCATGTCTTTGTTCCTCCATACCAGTATTTCTTAACCCCAGCAACATGAAGATCTGTGGTCCTTGGTGCTCTCTGAGCCTGGTTGCTTTTTTACAGACAGATTAACAGAGTTGGAAGGGACCTTGTAGGTCATCTACTCCAACCCCCCACCCAAACAGGAGACCCTACATCATTTCTGAAAGATGGCAGTTCAGTCTCTTCTTGAAAGTCTCAAGTGATGAAACTCCCACAACTTCCGAGGGCAACTTCTGTTCCATTGGTTGATTGTTCTCACTGTCAGAAAGTTTCTCCTTATTTACAGGTTAAATCTCTTCCTTGTTCAGTTTCCATTGTTCAGACATTTCACTACCAAACTAGGTGACATCATCAGAGCTAAGAGGGCACAGGATTAAACTAGCAGTTCCACCCTGAGAGCTGCAATTATTCTCTTCTGTTGGTACTTGGAGATGCGTGGACTTCAATTCCCAGAATTCGCCAGGAAGCTTGGTTTAAAATGGGTGGACTTCAATCATCTGACCAAGTTGCTGGGAATTCTGGGAGTTGAAGTTCACACATCTTCACGTTGCGGAGGTTGAACAACGCTGCTCCATGCATTCCCTTGAGACAAATGTTGTCCCCGATTGTGTGAACCCCATGGGGACTCCAGCGGTTGAGGAATCTTCACAAGCCCTGGTCAAAAGGTCTCTGCTATAACTTTTGGGACTCACCTCTCCACTGAATTCCTCACAGACAGCTTTGGACTCTTCGCCATAACACGAGCTTCTGAACTGAGAAAATTCCCGGCAAACCCTGATGCTGACTAAACCAGGAACTGGCTTCCCATAGGTGTACCTGTGACCAGAAACAACCAAAAAAGATTAGGGAAAAAAATGAGATGATTGGTACAAGCAGCACCCTGGCTAAAGAGGAAAAGGGCGGGAGGAAAGGAAATCCAATTACCACAGGTAGTCCTCGACTTACAACCACAGTTGAGCCCCAAATTTCTGTTGCTAAGTGAGACATTTGTTAAATCTTTGTTGGGGGTGGTCAGTAAACGAATCTATTGACTTCAATGGGCCTTTTTTTTTTTTGCTGGAAGCCAGAAATAAATGTTGGTTTCTACCAAATAAACATCGTAATTCATGGTCACAAGACCACGGCTGGCACAGAAGGAGACAGGGGTAAGGGAAATCGCCAATGTGAAGAATGTCTGTCAGAAAAAATAATAACAATCCTAGCTTTGAATAAGAAGAAAAGAAAGTCAGATCGTTGCCACTTACTTGCCGCAGGCGGTGACTTCCAGTTCGTTGTCCAGAATTGATATGACTGAGGGGGACTTGACAACAACTTCAAACTTGGGCAACACTACAAGGAAGA